CCCATTTCAAATGGCCACTTCGACTTGGGATCCTTCCCTTGTAAGACGAATTCAGGCTCCTCACTGTCACCAAAAACACTACAGTCATATTAAACAACAATGATATGGACTTTTAACGCATTCAAGTTATAAGATCTATTTCATCTATTTGGTTTTCACAATGAGCAAAAACCGACATATCATCTACAGGGGCTTCGAAGCGGGTGAGTCAATTAAATATTTAACTCATACCCCATCCTAGCTTTTTGCACGAGGTAATCATCCCCCTCCCACCCCGCCGCTACTCCCCTAATGAGGCTTAGCTTGAAACCATATACTTCCGCCTAGAACCGTTTCTAGGAACAGGTCAGGTCGGCTACCCCTCCTCTGCACTCTAGCCCTCAGTGTTGGATAAAATCAATGCCCCCCCCCCCTCCTAACTACACTTTCTAACTACTTGATAAAAGTAAGGTGAGGCCCGGCGTAAGCCGGGCGACCCGACTGGTGATCAAATATAACTCAATCATGTCGAGCGACTATGAGATCCTATGATAGTAAGCGGAAAGCAATGTTTCACAAGATCGAACTAACTCTAAATCAAAAAACGACCTATTTTACCGTTCACCAAGACCAACATATTTTGTAGATGTAATAATTTTCCGAACAATATGAAACTTCAAACGAGGATCACTGTCTCCTTCACCACCCCAGATGGCCTTGAAAAACATGAAGTCGTGCATTTAGTAGTATAGAACTTTTAGCATCTCTCCGGAGAGTTTAAAACTAACCAAAGTTATTCCGAACTTCTGCCGGCTTTCTCGAAAATATGGGAAATAAGGTAAAAATTGTAAAAAAAGTTGTCAAACCTTGAAAGATTCTCGTCCAGGTTGATAACTTTGACGACATTCGAACATGTAGAATACAATTTACTGCCATTGGCACTCCATTCCACAATACCTCCTGTGTATACGGCTTCAATACACCGTTTTATGGCTAGGTCTCGAAGATCATGCTTCATAACCAACTTCTGAATTAATGTTTATGCTCAAATTAAAGAAAACACTCTTAAGGGAAATAGCAATAGAGTTTCGCAACTCTGGTTCGATTTTACGCAAACACACGCAACGATTTGCATATATCTAGGACAGCCGTGAATATAAGGCCCTGCCCCGCCGTGTCGAACAACTGCAACCCCCATCTCCCCTCTCTTAATCTTCAACAACTGTAGACCGATAGAGGGACGAACATTAGCGACGGCACGGCATAAGTGCAAATGATTAGTGTTTCTTATGTTTACATCCACCAATTTCAACTAACCCCCTTCGTCTACCTTATACGAACACTATTTCGGTTTATTGGCTTCGTGTTCCACGGTTTATGCCGTCTGTGTCGCCTTCGGGGCGGCTGAGGGCAGAAGACGTGCGCTATGAAAACAGGATGATTGCACCCAAAACCAGTGGTTCTTCACAATCCCAACGAATCCAAGGGCGTAAGTTATTCTTTCAATTACTGGTTTCCGAGCATCTAATAGAAAACAGCACGAACAAAGCCACACCGTCAACTACGTCAATGCGACGCCGAAGCGATCCAAAGAGCGTAAGTAATTAGAACCGGCAACAAGTGTTTGTAGTAAAAGCACGTATCATGCACCACCACTGTGTCCAAAACGTGTTCCATCGAAGGACTGGATGTAGCTCAAACGGGAAAGTAATAAGGCATTCATATCGACACACACCAACTAACAACTACTTACTATGTATTAGTATTAACAAGAATGTACTATTTTCGTTATTCCTAGCCGCCTGACTCACTGGATGTGTTGCCTAGAAGGTAATCCAAACTTTTTCAAAAGAATTTTTCGAAAACAAGTTGTACGGAACACGGTCTACAATTCATAATTCAAAAAAAAACGAGATTTCTACGACATAGTTATTGCTGTACCAAGTTAAAAAGAAATATAATATGTGATAATGGACTTTAAAAGTATTACAATCATTGATTGCAATAATACGGACCATCAGATACATTTTGCTAGCGAAAAAACTAGCGAAAACTAGAGCGCGAAGGACAACTCGACCACATACAGGTTTCCAATTACAGGCGTGAGAGGTGCGTGACATTTCTTTGGTCCCTAAAGGCCCTTCAAGATGGGCCTTTCAAGGTGGGTTGAAGTGATAAGTTAATCAGTGAAACCCACTTTGGTGAGTTGTGTGATTGCGTACTTCAGCAAAAGACCGTAAGCTCACGCTTAAATTTTATTATTCGCTTGTTGATCGAGAGTTATTTGATCAATTGTAACATACCAACATGTCGTGGTGTTATGTACAGCGCCTAAAAGGAAAATGGGTTCCAAATCCGTCCAATCCAGAATGTACTACTGTAGACTAGCCATGTTTTCGCGATCACATGTATTTGCGTCCGTGGGCGTTCAATTCAGTAACCTCCTTCCTAACTTCGACAAAGGAGTACTGTATAATGTTGGATGGCTGGGAGAAAGGGAGGAGGGAGGGGGAAGGCAGTGGGAGGAACTCGATGTTGAGGTTCACGTGATAGCGAATTACTCCCTTGATAAGCCAATTTCCCATTGCTGTATCGAATACTACTTCGAAGTCAGATTGCCAGGATCAAAAAGTCCGGCCCGCCCACTGTAACAATCGTTGCTCTGCGTCTTTCGTGACGGTTGTCACTTCTCTTTACATTTCTCTTGACGACAAGTACGTGGAATTAGATTTTTGACTTGCTGCCCTTTTCTTTTTCTAGTAGTACTTTCGATTTTGACGTGAAATCCAAGCATGGGGTGCTACAATAGAGAATTTAACGGCGAAATGGAGCAGATACAAAGCTAATTTTCCTAATAGTTTTCCAAATTTTCCAATTCTTCTGGAGTTTTCAGTGACGGCGTAGCTGCACTTCTTAAACTATTCTTTACCTTATAGCAGCAACCCATCTTTATAATAATGTTAGAAATGTATCTTGAACCTGGGTGAATAAATTGGCTGTGTTAACAATCCTGTTCCTGTTTACAGCCTTTCCTCACTTTACTATTGATGCCACGTCCCACATACTTAACGAGTGCACTTCCGAGCTCACTAAAACACCCAAATGCTGATTACTTTTGGAACTTGCAGAGAACAGATGCGGAACTTCTTTAACACATTTCTGGGGCCGTAACTAGTTAGCTGGGGCCCTGAAAAAGAAAGGGACAAGAAGTCATACAACACCACCCACTCTGAGGGCTTCTCCCGGAGTACCCTTCTGTCGTATACGTGACGGGTGCTTAGAGGTGCTTGAGTGTGTGTTCGGACTACTGTGTAACATATTCACGGGAACTGAATTCGTCCTGCACCCCTAAGGCTCACAAATAAATAAGTGGGGGCACATTGTTACGGTAATTGTTCATAGCGTGCAATTGCACATGTTATTTAAGATGGTACGGAAAGTGCGCTGCGTTCTGTGTTGGCTCTCATTTGGTTCTCAATACCGCTATCGAGTTTGTGCTGTTTACTTGAAGTGATACGTGTCGGATTTTGTTTCCTTGTAGTATACTATGGAATTGCAGGTTTTCTATGAATTGGTGAGATCACTGTTTTACACTCACCACCGTGTGTGGAGCGTTATTGTTGCGCTCTTCTATTTACTGCGGAGGTGCTCTGTTCATTATGTTGCGGAAATGTTACTGCATCTGCAGGAATTTTGCTCCCAAACACCTCGTTTTTCTGGTTTTTGCATTTTCTGCTGTATACCTTATTTTATTACGATATACGGGGAACAGGTATTTTGTTACTAACTTTATCTTATTTTTGAGTATATGCCCTTCGATTTCGAGTATTCAATTTCTTGTAAATTCCAGTGATTTACCGCTCACGAAGAATTCGCCGTCCTCAATACATAAAACAGCGGAAGCGGAAAAGCTTACCGATAGTGGAAGGTACTGCAGTTTACCCTTTTTTGTAACATGCACATATTTTTTACATATATCTAGTACAAGAAGAAACCCCAATAGGTTTTTCTTGCAATACGTTAAGCGATTATCTGACTGGCCACGATATTAGTCAAGCCGCTGCGCTAAATTGCTCTCTCTGCAATCGATTTCAAAGGAGAAGAGTTCTGTGACCAAAGAATGTGTCTCGCGAACCTTATGCGATAGATGGGCGTAGATGGATTAGTTCTGAATGTTTACATTGGAAAAACACTATTTAGATGTTAATGTGGTAGTACGAACAACTGATTATGAAAAAGGGTTGTGATAGGATTCGCATTTGCACGCGATAGCTATGTAAAATAGGGCAATCACCTGAGAAAGGACATTCAAGGGATCGTGCTGTCACAGAGCGACATTTAATTTTTCAAAAAAGTGAATTTTCAATTGAACACTTGATGCTCATTCGAATGCATTATTATCGGTGGTTCCACTGCTTCCACTTAAAACCTTGATCCGACTTTGTGATACATGATGGCAATTTTTTCTTCATCGCAATAATTCTCGAGTTCTTCGTCATTATGACTATTAAGAACCGACACGGGCTCAGATTCGTTGAACGAACTGTGATTTTCGAGTGCCCCCATGTTGCTTTAGTTCAGTTCGCTCAAAAAAAAANAAAAAAAAATCTGTTCGGACTACCGAAAATATTTGCGCTCATTACCGTGTGCCATCGATTCGGTAAACATTTTCAGATTTTCATGAAATCCACGGGGACCATATCTCAGCTTTCACTAGTGAACAATTTATATCTATGTTCAGGCTTCCACAAGTGTTGGATGAATCTGATCCGAAGGAAATTGAAAACGCCAGACAAACATTGACTGTTTTAAACAATGTTGGAGAAACTTCAGAAAGGAAAATGGAGAAGAAAACAACCTTATCCATGTACGTTTCAGATACTGCTTATTTCTTAGCAGTCATGATTTTTCATCATTTTCACATTTCATGCCATTAGAAAACCAATAAGTGATCAATGATGCTGAGCAATAAAACCCGACACACCACTAATGAAAGCACCTGGCACACAATTTATTCTTGTGATTAGAAAATCGAGAAATTAAAGTTACATTAGTCGTTAAGTTTATACCTGAAGCTTTGTATTCTTTTGTATGTTTTAAAGTTCACGTGATCCACTCATGTTTTGACCAAAGAGCTGAATGAACGTGCTACTTCCAAATATCAGTCAGGGGTTTCTGATGATGAAGATTTTTTTGAATTTGCAAAAGAGAAGGTCGCGAACCACCAAGGTGCGCCATCGCAACCGCTTTGCGCTGGTTTTGCTTGGGAGGTTTTCATGGCGCATTCTGACCCATCACTCATCGACATTAGTGCCATGGAAAAAAGGTTTTCTAGCAGACGACGGATCAAGAGGTTGAGCAGGTAATGTATATATCACTGAAAGTAAGGTTGATGTTCAAATTTCATTTATCCTAGGTGGCATTTTTATTATACGGATCTTTTCTAAATTCTAGCCACATTTATAATGTTGCAATTTTGATTGTCATTGTATTTTCAGCGTGCCTGGAGATCTTTGCCCTGAACCGGAACTCATTCCTGATTTGTCAGGTTCGCTTCCCCAGGCAGTGTTATTAATTGAAAATCTTCAAGAAGCAGAAGTTGCCGCTGCGCATCCTGAAGTAAAACCCGGCGGAGAATGGAAACCGTCTGAATGCAAGGTACTTACATAATCGATGCAAGGTTCTAATCTTTGAACATACTGAAATTATTGAGTTTTTTTCTTGGGAATATTCCACTACGTTTCACTTATATGCATGCCAACGGTCTGCAGATAGAGCTTTCACTTAGTAATTTCTCTTTGTTTCTTATTCCTTTACCTATCTCAACGGATAACAGTAGTGCAAAAACTTGCAGTTCATTTAATGCAGAGAAGCACCAGCTTGTAATAGAGTATTTATATTGTTTGTTAAGGCTCGTCACAAGGTAGCCATCATCATACCTTTTCGCGATCGTCAAAGTCATCTCACGCGATTACTTGATTTCCTTATTCCGATTCTTCAACGGCAGCGCCTGGACTTTCGATTCATTGTTACTGAGCAGGTTAAATTCCTTATTTTCCTCGTTGGTTTTTTTGTAATATAATGTAAACAGTTTTTGTTATCCCAATAGTTCGTCTCAATAAGCTGCTGCTTATCTTCAATAGCTTCAATAAGCGTTTCAATAAGATGGTGCTGCTAGTACTATTTTTATCTAGCATAATGTCGCTATGCACAGTCAATTCCAGTATGGGAACGATCTTTTCAACAAAGGACGTATAATGAATGCGGCATTCCGATTTGCGGAGACATTAAATGTCGATTGCGTCATTTTCCACGATGTCGATATGTTCCCACAGGACGACCGTAACCCATACTCGTGCCCTCCGTCGCCGAGACATATGGGAGCATTTGTTAGCAATTTAGGATACCAGTAAGTTTTTTTCCTTTTTTTTTCAAATTTCCGTCATGCTCCAGTGCTACATGCTCCTATGCCTGTACAGATTTTTGCTTGCCATTTGGTGAACTTAATAGAGGGATAAGGATAAAGTTTTTGGCGTTAATCAATCCCGTCTGAGGGATGCACCCCCGCTTTCGACTTCCATTCAGAATCGCAGTTGCATAATGAGTGCGTATGTGGCCTTTACAACGACTTGCGGTGGCCAGCCGATGTACAAGTCAGTGCTTTTTTCCTCCCAGACAAGTCTGGTACCAATTAACTGACCCCGGAGGGATGGAAGGCTTGGTTGGCCTAGGCGGGCATCGATTCGATATTCGAACCCCTGACCGTGCGTGTGATATAGTGCGTCACTTGCCACTACACCACCTCCGCCCTATTGGTGAACTTTAGCAAAAACAATTGTTCTTGATCGTGGTTACGGCCTACCATACATAGCGTATATGAGATGCTGGTGAATCAAGGTGGCCATCCCAAATGAGATCACCTTCGAGATATCCTCGCGAGTCGACTTTGCCGCTGCAGTCACAAATTTTTCTTACTAAAAAAAATATAGACTCTTCGAATATGTTCGTAAAACCGTGAACGAGATTGTGCTGCCCTATTCATCCAGCATTTCGGCCTTATCGCCTCAGTTAGGGCCTGAGAGGTTAATCAAGAACCATACCTCTGAAACTCCATCTGTATAAGTGAGCGGAAGTCTGAATGCAAGGATAACAGAGTTTTAACAACATCGAGAGGTAGGGATGTGGGGTAAAATGGTAGAAAGCAAGCAAACAGGTTAAAAGTTTTTTTTTTTGATTATCAATTCTTCATAATACATCAAAAATTCGATCTGGGGGTTTCCGAATGTCATATGATAGTAGTATTAGTCAGTTTGCGGCATTTTGCACATTGGGTGCAATTTTAAGCATTGTTTTTTTTTAACTTTTTTTGCGGAAAACCCCTCTTTTTTCTTTCCTGACTGGTTACATTATTAATGATGTTCAATATTCTTTGCAGATTGTGGTACAAGGAAATAGTCGGAGGTGTTCTAGCTGTATCTATGGATGATTATCGCTACATTAATGGATATTCCAATATGTATTGGGCTTGGGGAGGGGAAGATGATGATATGGGTTTGTGTTTTCGACGCATTTTTGCCATTTTCTACTCTTTCCTCGAAAAACGCTGTTTCACTACCGATGTCCACATTTTTCATAATACCTCTTGAACTTTTTTAAAATGTTTTTCAAGTGTCTTCTTACTTCTTGTTCTGGTTCTGCTTAACTTTGGCCTTTTTTCACAATTCTATGCCTCACCGACAAGATGTAGCAATTTTCCTTTTTAGGAAAACGTATACTTTCTCTAAATTACACAATAGAGCGACCGCACTCGGAAACCGGACGATATTCCATGTTGAAGCACGTGAAACGGAAAAGAACCGCACCTAAACTAATGTAGGGACTTTTTATTTACTCTTACTTCAGTTTCGTAATCACTAAGTTTTACTAAATTTCTCATCTGTGCTCTAGTTGCCATGAATCTACCTTCCTCAAGAATCATAAGTCACACTCCAAAGGATTTCTTTTTAAGTTATAAGTTACTCGAGATAGCGGATAAACGAGTTGCATATGATGGGTTAAACGAAACTGACAAGTGGACTGTGAGAAAGGTTAGTGCCACCAAGTTTAACTATTCATCGCTGATTCTTTCTTAATTGTATTTCATTCATTTGCACATCTAGCTGCAAGAAACTCAGAAAGAAAATGGAGAATACTACTGGGATGAATAACTCATTTCAGATCACTGTTCGCCCTCTCTATTATCACTTGTATGTAGATGTAGGCGCAGTTCCCGAAGAGTGGCGTGAGAAGAAGAGCTAGTGCGAACTTTTCATTTGTATTCCTGCTTGAAAATAGTTCCACCGAATCATCTTCTATTGAAATGGGTGTTGGATGTGATACTTCTCATTTTGGTCAGGAAAACCGCTCGTTGTAAACGCTGAAGTGAACGTAATATCTTGCCATTTCATTTTATTGCTGCATGTTTTGTGATTGGCTCGATTGCCACATATTCTCGCTGCCTTAGTGTCAAGATCTGTTCTTTATAGATTGATTCATTGTTCCTGCAGAACTTTCGGTGTTTTTTCTTTCATCCCTAAAACAGTAATTGAATTTTTAGACTTTTCGCTAGTCGTTTTAGTGTTTTTCTTTTGTTTTGAAGCCGGTATCTTGCTTGGATTTATTGTTTCCTTCCTCAATCATCCCAAACGCTTATTCACGAGCCTTGGTGAATGTCTTTCGTTTCCCCGTGTACATTTGTTATTTTGCCGTCTGTTCTGTTTTCGTCATAATTTTCAGAAACTTACATTTTTCGGTGTTAAGTGGATAGTGTAAATTCACAATCCCTTTGCACGTTGCCAGTTCTCTACATTTTTTTCGCTGAACTTGTCAGATACGATAAACATAATACGTTCAAGTGGTGGAAATGATTGTTGGGTTTTGAAACCGTAGCCTAATTAAGCGTATAAGATTTGATAAATTTAAATATAAATGCTATGATGAATGAGCATCCAGTCATCAGGAATGGGAAGCCTGGATACGCTGCCTGAACATGTTATTTTGAAAATCTTGCGGAATTTGGGAGGCCCAGTCAACATTGTGAGGTCTGGAATGTAGGTTCTTTGATGTTGGCTTTTCCTTTATTGTCTTCACCGCCTACCGTTGTACAATTATTACTGGGAGGAACGCGGCTTTGGAACTGTTCAAATTTTTTGACTCAGTTTTTGGAGACACATTTTAAGTTTCGTTGAAAATGAACTAGTACCAGTTAGGCATAGAAAAAGGTTGATTTGTCCTTTGTCAGCTTCGAAGGGTGAAAGAAGGTACATCGCCTTGAATACCTGCAAAATTCTTATCGCGGTCATCTAGAGTCGCCATTCGGGCATAGGTGTTCAGTATCCTGGAAACTTTATCAGATCATAGTGGTCATACAATGTGAAAATCTCATACAGAAATCGCGGAACTTGGGGAGGTTTGGAGAACTGAATTGAGAACGCGCAATCCTTCATTCGGCATGACCCTATAATACAAATTCTAGGGAAGTGAGTTCCGGACAGGTGGCCGACCACTCCTCAGCAACTATGAAAGCCGTTATATGCTTTCGGCAACATTGCTGAACAATTTTCTCGACCTTTGGCCCGATGAAGCTATGCGAGTCTTGTCTATGTTCCACCCCCTCAAGCCTGCTTCTTGCCGCTTGATTCACGATTATGCCTGTTATATTGGCTTCTTTTGGTGTCCGAGGAAGTATCAATCAATCAAATGGTTTTGTCAGTGAAAGCGACATAACACTAAACATTTATTGTATGGTCTTGAGGTACTCTCAGAGAGTGTTCAATGAATGGTACAACATATTTCAGACGGGCTCGATTGTGACCGTTCCTCTCCAAAACAATAGTGGTTTCTGTACATGTTACATTTTTGCACATTGACCATGGTTTGTTCGTATACTCGACACCTTCAGTTTTCGGGAATTCTGATGCTTCTGCGCTTCAAAATTCGCTTAACGCACTTTCAGACGGCGTCCACGAGTTGATTGTTAGTCATAGTGGAAGTTTTTCTTGATCTTGAATGGTCGCCTTTCGTGTCAAATCTCTATACTTTGTTGATGATGTGAGCGGCCTTTGCTTGAGTTTCTTTCGACACAAGTAGATGCGAAAATTAATTTATTGATTCATGAATAAGTGAGCTTATACTTTCATCGCATCCTGTGCACTTGGGAAGTAACCAGGGTCATGCATTGCCTATAGAGTCTCCCCTCAAATTCTTTCCCATGCTTTACGAAAATTTTGATCCTACCAGTTCAACAGCGCCTTTTATTAGGTTGATGCATAAATATTGCGGATTTTTTTTTTAGCAAATTACTTGAAGAAACGATAGAAATATCGATCAAAGACATGTTCAAATAATTGCTTCGGAACATATCCACCATCTACGTAGAGCACTGCTTCCCATTTGCTAGGCGGTCGGATTCCACAGGCAAAGAAGTTTCGACTCTTGGAGGCGATCACGTCTTGACGTTGGCCATCAAGCCATCCACTCCGTCGAAAGTTGTGTTCGTTAACCAATTTTTCAAAGGGCGATTGACGTGATAATCCATAGAAGTATCTGTTGGTGAATAGGGCGACCGCAGAAGCAGATTCCATTCCATTTTTCGGCTTTGCCTGACTGTTCCATCGCCGAGAATTTCGTTGAGATCACGTTATGAGTGTGCTGCCTCCCAACATTTCTCGAAGTAATAGGACATAATTTGGCATATATGAAGATGACTTTCCAGATATATTTCTGTAAAGAAAAGCGAGGAGATTATTTCTGCAAAAATCCCAAATTCAAAAGTTCAATTTTGCCGAGAGAAAAGAAGCCGCGAAAAAATCCGCAATAATTATGCATCGACCTAGTAATTTAACGCGCAACGTTTTTCCACACCGCATAGTTGCATGTTAGAAGGAACATAGGACTTCTCATAAGCTCGCACCGAATAATCGTTCTCGTTGCAGGATCTCACGTCGATGGTATAAAATGAGCCGACAAGACGCTTTGTGGCGAAAGACGGAATTTTCCGGCGATTCGCGCTTGA